AGGCCTTTGACAAAGTGCCCCATGATATCCTGGTGGAGAAACTGAGGAATTTTGGGATACACCAAAGCACTGTCCGGTGGATTAGGGCATGGTTGACTGACCAAAAGTAGAAAGTAACCATTAGTGGGGAATCATTGGGATGGTGGCCAGTGACAAGCGGGCTCCTGTCAGGGGCTCTGTCCTAGGGCAGATCCTGATTTTCATTAATGACATGGAAGAAGGGGTGAACAGTTTGCTGATCAAATTCGTAGACAATACTAAAACTGGAGCAGTGGCCACAACTGAGGAACAGGTTCTCCAGATCCAAAAGGATCTGGACAGACTATGGAAGTGGGCAGGAGACAACAGGATGGCGTTCAATTTGGATAAGTGCAAGGTCTTGCACTTGGGGCATAGGAATAGGTGTCACAAGTACAGGTTAGGTGACAAGTGGCTGGAGAGCAGCACTTGTGAAAGGGACCTCAGGGTACTGGTTGACTGCAGGCTAAACATGAGTCAGCAGTGTGATGCAGTGGTCAAGAGGGCAAACGCCTCCCTTGGTTGCATAGCCAGAAGTGTGGCTTCTAGATCGAGAGAGGTGTTACTACCACTCTATAAGACTCTGGTGCGCCCACAACTGGAGTATTGTGCTCAGTTTTGAGCCCTTCATTACAGAAAGGATATAGCCAGGTTAGTGTCAGTGCAGCATAGGGCCGCAAGGTTAGTGGCCGGTTTGCAGGGGATGGGGTATGAGGCGAGGCTGAGGGAACTGGGTCTCTTCAGCCTGGAGAAGAGGAGACTCAGAGGGGATCTGTTGGCGACATGCAGGTATGTGAGGGGATGTCACATGGAGGTGGGTAGAGACCTGTTCTCCCCTGCAGAAGAAGGTAGGACGTGCTCCAATGGAGCAAAGCTCAGGGAACCAAAGTTCCATTTGGATGCCAGGAAGCACTTCCTGACAGTTAGGACCCCGAGGGTGTGGAATGGGCTTCCACGGGAGGTCGTTGAGGCCCCTTAAGTGAGGTGTTCAAAGATAGGCTGGACATAAACATGGTGGGCATGTCGTGAGCGGAGCCAGCTGGAGCCAGGGGTCAGACTAGGTGGCCAGGGAGGCCCCTTCTGACTCACTCTGTTTCTGTGTTCTCCATGTTTCTGTTTAAAAGATGATTATCTTGAGATGAGCTGCATTCCTCCCTTTATTTATTAAAAGCTTTCCTAACCCATCCACTACAAACGTCTTGGGATGGCGTACAAAAAAATAAGCTGTGAAAATTTAACATTGCTACCTCAAGACATGCAACTGTGTCTGGGACAGTACATGTAGGGAAAGAACCCTGGAAAGATTTTTGATTTGTGTGTATTCTTTCAAAGTTCATTACTGGGCTTGCACAAATGCAGTAAATCCAACAATTCTGCCATAACAAGCAACTGAAAACCATCACAGAAACCCATGGGCAAATAAACAGGGTTGCACCTGGTACTGAAAAGATATCCGGCTCCAAGCCATGCTCTGGGCAAGGTGAACCTCTCTCGGGGGAGAGCACATTTGGTGACCAGGGCACCACAACAGAAAAAGCCCTGTTTTGAACCTCATGCAATGATAATTCACATGGTGTTCCTACACCAACCAGACTGAGTATTAAGACTATGGTTGGGGTTACTTTTCCAAGGCTGGCAGTTTTATTGTTGCACATGTAACATGGTTTTACATGCTTGCATATGTATGGTTTTAATATTCTGGTGTTACAGAGCTTTAAATCTATGTAAACAACCCAGCAAGATTTGGCTATTGGTATAGAAATGGAATGCATCAGTGGATAAATACATGAGAACCACCAAATGTCTTGCAGAATTCTAAAGAGGGAAACTTGTTCTTTATGCATACGCTGGCTATGCCATATGGAATGCTGATAATCCGGGTTTGTCATAATGGGAAGGAAGCAGCATACCTGCAAAAAGAAGGCTCTCCTCCCAAGAGACGTCACGTACCAAGAGGAGGAGGGGCAGCAGTAGCAGAAGCATGAGCTGCAATGACCAAACGGGACTGGTCAATACCTCTCTCATCTGGAGAAAGGGCCTCCGCAAATGTTCTTAATCCAGTCCTCAGTCAGGTTTGTGTAGGAGGTGGTGGTTTTTCAGGGAGATATGCAAATGCCAAAGCCATTCAGGGCATGAAAGAGATGACTTGGCATTTTGACTTGTGCATAGAAATGGACCATTCATTCATGTGACTCTTCCAAACGTGGTGAGAGTCATTCTCTTTTCTTCTTAGCCAGTAACTTTACCAATATGCTACAGTACTAAGCTGCAGTTTCCGAATGGTCTTCAAAGCTCCCCATACAATGTATCCCAGTAGTGTAAAGAATATGTTCCCAGGATGTGGATAAAGGTAGCTAAGCTCTCCTGGCTTCGTTCCAGCTGGTGCTGCACCAGCCTTAGTGGATGCAACATGCTTTGTGCTGCTTGGACCTCCAGTGATAAGGCCACATGAAGAATGCGCAAAGATGCAACAGATCTAACTTGTCTAGAAGGTGCAAGAACCTCCAGGAAGAGGGCTGAACGCAGCGCCTTATTCAGCCAAATGGTGTTCCCTGAGCACCTCTCACTTGGCTCAACTAAGTTTCACTTGGCCTATATCCAGTCCTTTACTGAGTCCAGGTTTAGCACTTCCATGGTTTCACCTGAAAGGAGCTGAATCTCCAGTTCGTTCCACCTCAGAGGTTAAGAGACAAACTAGAGTACAGTGGCACACCATGGAGTGCATTCCCTGAGAAAGAGCAAGCGTCTGGAAGCAGCCTTCCTGATAGGAATAGGGCTGCCGGCTCCTTGCCTGCAATCTCCATATCCCATCCAGAACATTGGGAGTCAGAATATGGCTCCTCTCCGTCTTTTGCATTAAAGAGGAGAATTTCTTCAATCGTTCTTGATGTAACTGAATAAAGGGATTATTCCTTTATGCCAGTGTATTGTGACCTCATTTTAATGGTGTTGAAGTTAATGGCTAGCCAATTGAAACTAAATCATAGGTCAGAATATGTTTGCAAAATACATCCAGAAGTCTCACACATGCCATCTAGTGTTAAATATATGATAGGGTTTTAAAATCTAGTAAAATATTGTGCATATTTTAGTTTTGTGGAGTTGTGTAAACTTTAGCTATAAATTAGGGCACTGATTTAAGTAACACTCTGGTCAGAATTTAAGTAATCGCGTAAAGTATAAAATGAATTCTGTGAGCCCAAAGGAGCTTTTATTCTTTTTGCAAATAGGATTCTCCAGCCCCAGGGAATATGCTACATGGCAATCTGCTTTTTTAAATGGAAGATAATTAAAAAAAAAAAAACAGCTTGCCATATGATATGAGTGTGTTGCTGTTCAAGAAAAAGTTACGTATTCAGCTGCACTTGTGCCAACCCTTTGCACGTGCCAAAGGAACAATTAGGATCTCCCCTGGATTACGTTGACGGTTGGTGCAGCATGATCTATTTTTAGCCCTCCATAAGTGCTGAAGTGATCCCCACCCCACCTTCCTCTCTTGAATGGAAAACATTTCAATATATTTCCATTTGCATTCATTATTGTGAGGCTAAATATAAAAGGCAGGTTTTTTCTTTCCTTGCAGCTTCATGTGTAGCTCGCATTTGATAACTGTGGCGACAAGAAGCTTGTTCTCAGCGATGAGCAGACAACGGCTGCATCTGTCAGCTTTAATAATATTGTAGACTGTCGGCTCCGTATTGTTTCAGCTTGAACTGCCTCCTCACCAACATTATCTCTTGTTTCATCTTTATTCTTCTTTCAGATTTGAAAGGCAAATGCTCTTAGTACAATGTTGGGAACTTCTTTGCAGTGACACTCATTATAAACTGTGCGTGTTAAAGAGAGATCTGTTTTTCAAAAAGTTACCTTACCCTGGCAGTTTTATGACACCTGAAAATAAGGCTTTAATCTTTCCCTTTATTGCCACCTTGTGGCCAGGTGTCAAAAACATATTCCTATTTGCTTCCCTGTTTAAAGAATATAAACTGATAACCCTGATCGAAACCTCTTTTGTTTAAGCTGCCATTTTAGTCAGGGGCAACCTAAATAAAACCTTTGAACATTTACTCATTTTCTAAAAGAAGGAAAATTTTCCATGAACATGTTGCCACAATGTTAATGCCTTCCACTTTGGGCCTAATTCTGTTCCACCTGTTCACTTTAGCAGCCTGACTCTAGATTTCAGCCTTCCGATATCGCCTGAGGGCTGTTGCATATTACTGTTGTTTCTACTGGTACAGTCCTAACTGAGCCAATTTGTCAGGCTTTGGCACCAGGCAGGAATGAGAAGGAATTACATTAATATAGCTCCTTTGCAGATATGTACAAGTATGTACAAGTCCTAATTGAGCCAATTTGTCAGGCTTTGGCACCAGGCAGGAATGAGAAGGAATTACATTAATATAGCTCCTTTGCAGATATGTACAAGTAATGGCCAGTGCCTTGTATTTTGTGCATTTTTAAATCCCTAAAGCCAAACTAGCACCAGTTTCATTTTTTCTGTAGTGTAGGTACAGGGGGCGTGATCCAGGTTCCCATCCCCATTCTGGGTCCAGTCCAAATTTCTGCCTCCCAACACCCCTAGGGTTCTGGTTGTAAATTAATGAACTATTTCCTTCAAGCAATAGCATTTTTCAGTGACATTGAAGACACAAGGGAATAACTTAGAAAATTTCCAGAGTGGGGGAGAGAGGTAACATTCTCCTCACCTCCATGCTGGGGCCCCCAGTCCTGAGCAAACATGAATGACAAAGTAGTTTGCTTTAAAGAAATGTCAATTTTGGCTCCTAGTTTTAAAATTCCCCGTGCTGTTTGACATGTCAAGTGTGTAACACCTCTTGCTCATACTCACACCTTTTTAACACAAAAGTGATAAGAAGAAGGAAGAACTGAAAGTAACCCTGCTGTTTCCCCTTTATTCCAGCCAGGTAATCATGTTGCAGAAATTACATTTTAATCCTATCCAAACTTCCTTGTTTTAGAGTAACTATTTGGTGTTCATGGCAGAGCTCTTCTGGTGGTTTGAAGTAGTGAAGCCATCCTTCGTGCAGCCTCGGGTTGTAGTCCATCCTCAAGGTAATGTTTAGGTTGCTTCTGATTACTCCCCTTTCTGTGCACCCTGTGAATGAGATTTAAGTGGTATTAATCTCCTGGTCAGCAACGATTTTTAAATTTGGGCCATATTGAGAACTGGTTCAGACAGAAAGTCTCCCAGCATTTTATTTATTTAGATTATTTTGCTTGTTGATCTTGTTTCCTGGACCAATTTCTGGCATAAAAGATAACCAGAGGTATGGTTAGCTAAACTCAGACTCTGGATATATGCTGTGTGGTCTGAGGGGGCACCTTCAGATTCCATGTATATTGATTCACCTTTTCCAAACGGTAGGTTGTACCACTGCTGCATCTGGGGGCCTTCCTGCACATTCTTTTAAGGGAGGCTCTGGATGTATGCCCAGAGTCCTGCTCTGCAGCGCTGCGGATAATGTAACAAGGTGCTGTACTTGCTCCAGTTCCACTTTCGCAGGAGTAGCAACAAGATATTTGGCAGTTCTCAGGAATGGGAAATAGAGCAAGCAGACTCATGCATTGCCAGCAGAGGTTCCCAAGTTCACTCTCCAGAGTGCAGGGAGGAAGGATGCCACCCAAACTCCCTGCAGGGCAGTCAGAGACAAATGATTTCCCAGACAGACTGTTCCCACCCCTTAGATTCACCTCAGCCTGAATCAGAAATGTCAAGCATTTCAGGACATATCTGGGGCACTGAAATAAGGGTCCAAGCCAGCCCCCCGTGCTTCACACTGTCAAGCCTGAAATGTCACCCCGTAGCAAGTTGAAGACTGAATTTATCTGAGGTTTATCTAACTGAGGTTTATCTGGAAGAAAGCACACACTACTGCAGAGGTAGATATGAAGTCTATTTACACAGGCTAAAGGTAAAGAGATCGTAAGATATTCAACAATTGGTGAAACCCCTTGGAACAATAGTCATACATGGTGAGACCAGGTGGGTTGCATTTTGGGAGTGTTGCTGCTTTGCTGGAAAAGAGTGGGCTTGTTTTTTCTAGTTAATAGAATAATTTCATGGAACTGCCTTTCCATTTTTTAGAGTGGCATACAAGATAGCTAACAACAGGTAAAGGTCAATGAAACAATGACCAATTACAATTAAGCAATTATAACCATTAAATATAATACTGAAGTGGTATAGTAGATAAGTAAAGAATTACAATAGCATCGTCCATTTTAAAAAGTCCCGAACAAAAATCTCTTCACAACAGAAGCTAAAGTTGTGGATAAGGGACATGGGGGAAGAATTCCAAAACTAGGGTGCTGCCACAGGAAAGTGCTTGACTAATCTACGTCACCCTTGTCAGGATAAGAGCAGATTTACCCCTCGGGTGTTAGAAGGTGGGCAGATTGAGATGGGAAGATCCTAGAAGTTCCCAGGAACTAACCATTCCATCCTTCATGGGCAATAATGAGCCCCATTCAACATTCTCAGAAGCAAGTTGGTAACCAGAGAAGATGTTGTAAAATGGGCGCTAAATGCCCATAGCTGTCTTCAGTAGGTACCATAGCTGACCAGGTGAAGATTTGCTGGTGTTTGGGCTTTTGCTTTCACAGCCATATAATATAACGTTTTAAACTGTTATTTTAGCTGAGCCTCCAAAGGAAGCATCCTCTATTCCAGCTGCAAACACCAACAGAAGAAACTACCCAAATGATTCACATGATTCTGGCCTGATAGCCAGGTATGACTCCCTGACTTCTTTTGCACATATTTATATTTCAGGTCATAACCAATATGAGCAAAACAATTTATGAGGTGTCTTGGCTTAATTCTGTTTTATTTACTTGGCCAGCAGTGCCAATAACTGTTTAAACTTAAGCTGATCGATACGAGCTGCATGTTTTATGTATCTCCTGTTTTATTGTTTATTGTATAGTATTGTAAGATGAAATGATAGATACAGGGAAACATAATCTAAACATTCACCCTTTCCCTGTCTAATGCCCTGCCCTCGAGCCATTAGTTAGGCAGTCAGAGAGAGAATGTAACACGCTCTTCTCTAACCAAGTAATAACACCAGTGGTTCTCATTTATAATCAGGACAAATATCGTGATGTCTGTCTTGTTTTTAATATTTTTATTGATTGACCTAACCTTTACATGTTGGGCAGTAACACAAGCCTCCATATATATTTAACTCATGCATACATGCTAAAAATATCACTGTATTCATCTTAGGTCAAAAGCAACAAAGCATTGTGTGTTTCTTTAAAGACAACCAGCAAAGTAGGCTTGGCTTATGAAAGCTTATGCCACAGTGGTTGGGTTCTCAAAGCACACTGCTCTGTGAATAAGCTGTTTGTGGAACAGCCCATGGTATACCCCGCAGACAATCATGCTTACTGTGGCCTGTTGTCTCCCTCAGTTGGTCCTCCAGCGTGTCCTTCATGTGAAACCCCATCCCTGCTCAAAGCACGACAGCTTTTTGTTCAGTGCTGTTCATTTTTCAGAGCACCTAAAAAGCATAATTGGGTCATATTTCATTCCCTAAAAATCATTCCCAGAAAATTGCACTATTCTGTTTGGGACTATTTTTGTCAGCCTTGGTCGTTAGCTGCATTTCTTCCCTCCAACAATCACCAGCCTTGGGCCATTCTCAACAAAATTCTCTTTATTGTTTCTACACATAAATCATCCAGTCAAATCTCTGAGCGTGCACAGAGTGATTTGTTGCTCCCAACCTAGTGATTGTTTCCCAAAATCTCCTGCACACTCTTGCGACCCTGCCCTTAGGAAGGCAAGCTGTGAAAGCAAGTGTGACTTTCCCCATGTGCTTCTCATCCAATTGTGCTTCTTGCCATGGCTGCCACCTGAGCGGCTGACTCCCATTTGAAGATTCCCCAGTTTCAACAGCCCCTCTCACTTCCTGGATCTCTGTACGCTTTGCAGGATCCATCTCCACCTCTGCCCCCTCATCTGCCCTTGAGCTAGTCTCTGGCATCTCTACTTCCTCCTGTATTCCAGGACCTTGAGCAAGATCCGGTTGGTCAGTCCCATCTAAATATTCCTCTTCTGAATCAGAATCTGAATCAACAAAATTGGCACGGTGCGCGTCTGGCGGGATGCTTGCCTGAGCCCGCCACCTCGCTTGCTCCCAACAGCCTTTTGCAAGTCTAATTTTATCAATCTGTTTCCTACTGTGCCTTACAATTAAAACATGGAAACTAAACAAGCAAGACTTTTCCTATCAGCCGTAAGTGCACGCTTGGGAAGGACTTACAAAAATAACTATATTTTAAAAATGGCAGTTTTCTGGGTCCTTTGAAACAAATTGACAGACCAGTGACCGTTGCTCCAAAATGCCCTTTGGGCACAGGTGGAGAGCTGTAACCAGTGTGGGCATTGGAAGACTGAAAACAGCTAGCTCTTTGCTGCTGTTGCCAAATGGCTTGCTAGCCAGTCCCCACAGCCATATGAAATTGCTCTCCCAGGTTTGGATGCGGCAACAACCCATCATGGGTCAAAGAATGTCTAGAACAAGTCATGGGCTGTCAGAGCCCTGCTGCCCCAGAAAAGGCCCCTGTGGAAAGCAGGCTGGATCTGACCACATGGCAACCCATGGCAGCTAGTTACTCACAATGGGTTGTGAGCTGTTACTATGTGCACCGGGTCAGTAGGCCTGTCCATCTGTCAGGCCCTACAAAAGTGTCTGCCAGGCTTACTGCAAGAGAATACCATGCCTGCTCCTCTGGGATTTGTCCTTTATGAGCTTCTGAGGAAACTCCAGGGCCTATTTGAAAATTACTGAACTGTCTAATAAAGCACCATTGCAATGTAGGGTAATTATTTTGGAGGGTTTTATTCCAGTTTAAGTTGCTAATGTTCCAAAATAGAGTGAGGAGATTGTGGCTGTGCTAGAAATGCTGTTCTTTGTTCTTATTCATTTCTCACTGAAGCAGTACACAGATTTACTTGTCGAATTAATACAGCCCTGTAAGTCTACATACATAGCTTCTTTAGTATCTAATGTTCTATTCAGAAGGAAGTCAATTAGCCTTTTTATGCTGATTTGGTTAATGGTGAGCATTATATCTGTATGTGAAACAAGGGGCCATGCTCATTCTGCTGTGCCTGAACTTCCATTTTCCATACCTACGAAAAAGCCAACCTGAAGGAGAACTTTGTTTTCCTATGCAGTGTTTCTTCTCCATGTAAATTATAGACACCGTGATAAATAATATTGCTTACTTACCTTTGCAGCAGATAATTTTGTTGATGAAAATCAGGATTTATATAAGGTTGCCAAATACAGTTCTTAAGTTCAAATTCATAAACTTTAAATGAGCAGTAATTAACAGCCTTTAAAACTGATATAGCAAAGGCTTAAAATGTCATAATACCACAATGCAGGTGATATTTTAAGAAAGTATGATACTATCATGCAGAGATAGATTTGCTCAAACCCTACAGGCAAATGTCAACTCAATAGAAGGCTTGAATACAGGTTGTTATGCAGTACCAACATTACTGAATAACTTTTTCACAGGGTACATATCAAATCAAAACTCTGTACTGGAGAAATAACTTTGATTGTTCTGATTTATCAATGAATGCCTTCAGGCTTAAATTCACATAACAAGATTGCTTCTTCTTATCTTCTTATCTCAAGATTGTTTGGATCTGTAAAAGTTTAAATGACTGAAACAACAGTAACAATGTTCCCCACCTCACCCCATTTTTCAGTGTGGAAGATCCAGCTTTTGCATCATCTCACGGGATCCCACCTGCCAGCTACACTCACCCTCAGCCTTATTCATCTGCCCCAGGTAATAGCAAAGGGCTAAGGGAATGGGCTTTTCACTAACTGGATCAGGATGGATCCAAAGGTTCTCTTCCTCATTTCACAATGCTAGAACATTTTGTCTTTCAGCCCAATTTTCTTTTTGGTTAGAGTCCCATGCCTTAGAACTGATTTCTTTTGGAATTTATTTATTATTCCCTTCTTCTAAGGCGCTCGGATCAGTGTACATGTTCCTCTGCTACCCTAATCCTCCATGTCTTCACAGCAGCCCTGTGAGGTAGGTTAGGCTAAGGGCAGTAGGTGGCCCAGCATCGCTCAGCAAGCGGCATGGCTGACCAAGGACTTGAACCTGGTCCGCCCTGTTCAGCACACCACCTTGGCTCTCTATTATTACTACAGTGGGACTGATTAGAGAGCAGGAAAACAAGTTAAGGACATTTTTTAAAGTTAGATGAGAAAGATCTACATTCTCAGAAATAGGATCCGTGAGTGAACAAATACTCTATAGTCTTTCTCCATTATAATATTAATATTCTGTACCTTTGGCTATGGCTTATTCTTTTAAATTTTAAATAGTAAAGCATTTGTACATAGTGGAGGGATTGTCCACATAAATGTAACTTGTGTAAAACATGGCTGGCGGAAATACATAGAATGGTTGTGAACCAAGCTTAATTAATGTCAGCGACAATTTAATTAACTCAGTGTCCTCAAGATTTTACTTGGATAATCCTGTTCAGAAACATAGCTGAACATTGTTTTTTACTTTTCTACAAATTGCTGTTTGGGGACCCTGCTTTAATTCACATCAGCAATAGAAATCTACTTCTAATTCTTATGAAATTTGATTTTCTACCTTATCTTAAATTCTCGGAGTTACATCTGAAAGTGTCATTCTGCCAGTGCAAAGCATCTACTGTTTACAGGAACCCTGTTTGCCTCTTTGCACAAGTGCCAGATCCAGTACCTGGATTTCATTTCCACAGCCTGTTGCACAAGCGGTTGAGCAAGCCCTTACATGATCGTCACAACATCATTAGGCTGGGTGTTGCTTGCACCGAGCATGCTAGTTCTCCTGTTCGTGCAACTTTGGATACGGCCCTCTTTTTAAATGTCTTCGAAGAGTGAACCTTTACGTTGTGTTCTGTTGATTTCAAACAGGCAGCATTAGAAGATCTTCATCTATGTCCTACATGGATGGATATGTAGGGACGTGGCCCAAAGAAAAAAGGTAAGTACTTTCTCAGTTGGAGCTGTCCTACTGGCAGTGATGTGTCACTCAATATTTCTGTGTGATGCAAGAGGCTGGTGCCTTGATTTCAGTACCTGAGCAGTTCCAAGCATGTCATATGCATGGAGCAACATACTGGGAATCCCAAGGGTTCACGGTACTCTCCCACACGAAGAGGGTTAGATCCAGGATTTCTCTTCCACAAGAGAAGAACTCAAGGAAGGGTCCTTGACCCAGTTTTGCTGGAATCTCACCACATCTGACCCCCTTCAGCAGGATCTCCCGATTTTGTATATAACATTTTTAAGGGGTTGGACGGACTGCCCTGAGAAGGAGGGGGCAATGAGGTGTACTTCCACCAGTGTAATTACTCCAATATAAATCTGAATCCCATCCAGGCTTGAAAGTGAAATGGATCGTGTGCCTAAATGCCGAGGCATAAATCCAGCTTACAAGACCCATACTGCCTTTTGAAAGATAGGACAGGTCTAGTGCCCATAAAAGTTTAGTTTGTCACTGTGTTGCACAATAACACACAAACCCAGGGCTCATTCTCATCCCCGTGATCCGGCCATGTTTGAACAAGCTCATAGCTTTGCACTGCGTCTTTTAGACCTGCAGCACCTACCTACCTTAACACAGAAATGTTTTTGTAGCCTCTGCTTGAATAACTCCACTCCATAAATTTTATAATAAACCATACACAGAGTATTTGAGGGCTTGCTGGTGCAATTAAAATTGTGCAGTGAATCATCCTACCTTTGCTTATTTGACATGTTCTTTTCATCAGCTACCAAAAGAAAACTGGATATTCCTCTTAGTTCTAAAGGAGGAATGTTCACTTTTTATATGCTGCACTAACAAAAATGATGTAAAGATCACAACTTGATAGTTTCGTTTGCAAGACATGCAGAATAAGGAATAAACCAGTCTAACTTTTCAGATGCCTGTATGTTATAGATGTTGGACTACGAACTGTATTTGTTAGTCCTGAGCCAAATGAATAAACTGAGGTGCTTCTTGCAAACAAATTTGGAAACAAGGAAAAACATCCTTTAATCCTTCAGGAACAGTTACAAAAGAGAATGAAAGTGTCCAGAATGTAAGACCAATGGGCAATCTGATTGGCTGGGATTGATATGGCAATCCAAGAGGTTTTCACTCTGTCTGCTTTGTGTATCTTCAGTGATATCAAGTAGACATATCTTGGATTGCATTGACTACTTGTGCTGGGATCTCATAGCCAAACCAAAAACAAACCCCGGGAAAGCGGGGAAAGGGTACCAAAGCAGCAGTAGATGGAAGAGACAATGCAAACAGGATTCAGTGGAAGCAATATTTTTGTTAATATTTGGAGTGTCTCAAAACCTAAAATTAACAAACACTTGGTGTAGGCCTAATTTTAGTTATGTAAATGAATACAAGACTAGATAATGCTAGTAACAAGTAATATTTTACTTGTATTACATATTCAGCATTTTGTTACTAGACTTTGATATGCTATAAAATTAAGGATACCTTCCTTTTACCAAAATATTGGATTTGGGGTTGCTTTAAGGGCTTTTTGTATTTTTAAATCCAATTTTTAGATCTTCAGTGCATGGAGTATCGTTTGACATTTCTTTTGATAAAGAGGATACCATCCATATGACTGCTCCAAACAGAGGAATTACTAGATCTCTCAGTAATGAAGGGCTTGTGCAAAATACTAGCAGGCTACCCAGACATATTAAAAAGAATCTATCCTTTAAGCCTGTGAATGGTGAAGAAGAAAGTGAAGATATTGAAGAAGAAAAGGATGTTGAGTTTTGCAGTGATCTAGAAGCTAATAGCAATCAAAGGAATGCCAACCAGATTAGTCCGTGCCGCCTACCAAATGGAGCACTGCAAAACAGGTTGGTTACGGATGAATTTGGCAATCGCATTGAGGCACCAAGCATTGAGCAAGCATTGCAGATTATCCATGAGAGTGAGAAATCTCCCAGTCTTTCTCAGGCAGAGCAATTTTCTAATGGGTTTTTCCTTCACAACACGGAGATGAGCATCCTAAATTCAAATTTAAAACCCCATCAGGTTAGTCAAGATGCTCTTACAGATACAAAAGATGCTTTCAGTCCTGTAACTGACAATACAGAAGTGGATACTGGAATCCATGTACCTTCAGACATCCCAGAGACTATGGATGAGGATTCTACTTTAAGAGATTATACTGTAAGCCTGGACTCTGATATGGAAGAACCATCTCGATTTTTGCACGAATTTGATAGCAGAGGCGTCAACCATAAGGAGCAGCTGAGTCCTTGTCCAAGCTCCATAAGTGCCAAATCACAAGCAGGCAGTAGCGCATCTTCAAGCTCTGGAGTGAAAATGACGAGCTTTGCTGAGCAGAAGTTCAAAAAGCTGAACCATACAGACAGCCGAAGTAGTGGAAGCAGTTCGCAGAAAACCACCCCAGAAGGGTCCGAGCTAAATATTCCTCACATTGTTTCTTGGGCTCAAATACCCGAGGAATCCCCTCTGCCTCAGGGAAGAGACACAACGCAGTTGCTGGCCTCTGAAATGGTCCAGCTGAAGATGAAGCTGGAAGAGAAGAGACGGGCCATTGAAGCCCAGAAGAAGAAGGTGGAGGCAGCTTTTACAAAGCAGAGGCAGAAAATGGGAAGAACAGCATTCCTTAATGTTGTGAAAAAGAAAACTGATGGGATTTCGCCACTTAGAGAAGAGGCGGCTGGAGCAGAGGATGAGAAAGTGTTTACAGACAGCCATAGACTGAAAGAAAAAGAAGCTCAGAAGCCAGGTGAGCAACTAAATAAGACTTCAGAGATGATAAAAGAAAGCTCTGAAAATGCCCCAGCTAAGTGGCTGAAGTCACCAAACACCCCACTTGATACAGAGAAACATGGTAACTTAACAAGTCCTTCAGAGGAAAACTTAAATGAAGGTGACCTCTTGGAATATACAAAATCCATTGAGAAGCTCAATTCTTCTCTAAACTTCCTACAGCAGGAGATGCAGCGCCTGTCGCTTCAGCAAGAAATGCTAATGCAGATGAGAGAGCAGCAGGCTTGGGTGATTTCACCTCCTCAGCCTTCTCCTCAGAAACAAATTCGGGAGTTTAAGTCTTCACTGAGGCTTAGTGGGTCATCTTCTCCCATTGGGCCATTTTCAGTGGACTCTTCTCGACCTTCCCACCAGTCCCCACAGACATCTTCAAGGAAGAATTCCTCTCTCCCCAGTAAAGTACAAAGGACTCCTAGGCCAAATGAACTGAAAATAACACCTTTGAATCGCACTTTGACTGCACCACGATCTGTAGATAGTCTTCCTCGTTTGAGAAGGTTTTCTCCAAGCCAAGTACCTATTCAAACTCGGTCATTTGTTTGTTTTGGAGATGATGGTGAATGTCGCCTTCTAAAGGAGGTCAAAAATACAGCAGAGGAGACAGTTGACAGAGAAGAAGCAGGTGAAAAGGAAGCTGAGAAAAAAGTAGCTTCTGCAGAACCAGCTGAGCAAAAATCAAAAGAACAGCAAATCAGACCTCTAGAAGCTACAGTGTCTGAAGTTCTCTCACAACCCATTACTGAAACGGTCTGCCTCACTCCAAGTGAAGAGCTGCTGAATCCCCCAGTTTTTCCAGCACCTGCCCCCAAAACTGCTAACCTCATAGAAGTTTCTCTCACTGATTTGAAGCCACCAGAAAAGTCAGAAGAGCCCACTGAGAAGTCAGAGGGTGAGAGTGACAAAGAGCAATTGGAGGATGACCAGAAAGTGTGTTGTGGATTCTTCTTCAAGGTAAGTTACCGGGTATTTCATGAGACATTTCTAGAACAATGTCATGCTAAAATAGATAGCATCCTGTTAGCTCACTCTAGAAAGTTCCAAACTCTCTCTTATAGGTTTTGTTTTTTAAGAGAACTAATGCATTTAGGGTCTTTGGGGAAAGGGAAGAGAAGTATATGATAAATTGATCTTTTAAAAATCTTGGGCTGGTCCCCACCCCCTGTCCCAAGCACTTATGTTTCAGCTGTTCTGGATCAAGACAGATTTACCAGTATTGACCCTAGTATCTACTTGGAAATGTACTTCAATTTTTGGCTACATTCCCAGACCAATTTAGGAAGATTCCCCAGCAGTTCTATCCACTGTCATCACTTTTATTCACACCTTTGGTAATACAGAGTTCCTGTATCTCATTTTAGGTAGATTATCAGTTTAACTGCCTCTGTAGGTAGACTTGTAGTCAATTCTTTCTGTCACACACTATACCAGAGGTAAATTAACTATCTGACCTGTAGGCCCGCTTGTGGGGGTTTTTTTCAGGCGGGGAGGGTAGGGACCGAACGCACATCAGTCTTTGGGCCTATGTGCACTTGTTTTCAGGATTCACTCATCTCTTGGGGGCTGTGTGTTTGGGGGAGTGAATGGAATAGGTATGGGTTGGCATAAGGTTGATGCCCAAGGACTGGGGAACCAGCGTACCCTGAGCACTGTATTGCTGACCACTATGATAAATAAACAACATGGTGTTTTGAAGGTTTGCAGTTTGGTGTAACACAGATGTGCTCCATTCATTGAGGAGTCATAAAACTATAGAAGAGTGAACTCATTGTTTGCTTTGGCACAGTGGTGGAACATATTTTTGAGGAGGTTTTGAATATCTTAGTTGCATATCCCAAAATACATCTTTAGACTATCTTTCCTTTGTGATTTTAGACCAACCCTTAAAACGTTCAACCAATTCGAGCCTTTTTCAGTTCAATGACTACAGCATGTTAATGGTATTTTAAAATTGATTCTTTCGTAAATGTGGCCACTAGGATGATCAAAAGCCTGAAAATGATATGGCAGTGAAACGGGCAGCGTTACTGGAGAAGCGACTGAGAAGGGAAAGAGAAACTTTACTTCGGAAGCAGCAGTTGGAAGCAGAGCTGGAACACAAGAAAGAAGAAACAAAGTAAGAGAAACTGCAAATGCTAGTCCTTCTGAGAGATAGATGACTTTTAAATTTAGCCTAAGAATTTAGTCAGATACTTAACTTATGTACCTTTAGAAGTCACCCTTGCTATCTAACCATTTTCCTAGCCTAAGCCCCATAAATCACTTAATTCTACTAATTCAACGTCAGTTTTTCCATAATTGCAGATTCTTATATGTATAGGGATTAAGAGGCAAACCTGCCGGCTAAACATGAAGAATAAAAACTGAAATGTTGGTGCCGTCAGTAGGTGATGGCCTTTGGATAAAAGCCGGGATCACATTGCCACTGTCATTGTCATTATAATTAAATTTTATTCCCATCATCCCATAGCTGAAGGTTTGACATGCAATTAGAAATCATGATTTCCTGCTATGTGTACAAACTAAGTCAACCTTCCTTAGCTTGGTATCTCCCAGATGTATTCAACATCAGTTTCCGTATATCCCAACGATGCCATCTGGTGATGATGGAGTTGCACTCCAACACATCTGTACCAGGTTGGGAAAATGTTGATAATATGTATTTATTTGGGAGCTTCAGTATTCCAATATTTATCTCTTACCTAATTAAAGAGCATAATCTGGTCCTATCACTTCCTGGCAAATAGATGGGGAAGAAATGGAGATAGTGACCGATTTTCTTTTCCTGGGTTCCAAGATCACCGCAGACAGGGACTGCAGCCAAGAAATTAAAAGACGCTTGCTCCTTGGGAGGAAAGCTATGGCAAATCTAGACAGCATACTAAAAAGCAGAGACATCAGCCTGCCAACAAAAGTGTGTATAGTCAAGGCTGTGGTTTTCCCTGTGCAATGTATGGCTGTGAAAGCTGCACCATAAGGAAGGCTGAGCGCCGAAGGATTGAGGCCTTTGAATTGTGGTGGTGGAGGAGACTCCTGCGAGTCCCTTGGACTGCAAGGAGATCAAACCGGTCAGTCCTAGAGGAGATCAACCCTGACAGCTCTTTAGAAGGTCTGATACTGAAGATGAAACTCAAATACTTAGGCCACCTAATGAGAAGGAAGGACTCACTGGAGAAGAGCCTGATGCTGGGAACAATAAATGGCAAAAGGAGAAGGGGATGGCAAAGAATGAGGTGGCTAGATGGAGTCACTGAAGCGGTTGGTGTGAGCTTAGGTGGACTTCGGGGGATGGTGGAGGACAGGAGAGCATGGAGGAATGTTATCCATGGGGTTGTGATGAGTCGGATGCAACTTTACTAAACAACATTCAAAATAACACATTTTTCTGTAAATATTACTAAGCGACCAAATAAGCCACTCAGTTCTAATATGCACACAAAGCTAAAGCAGTGTTGGTTGGCATCATAATACATCAGCTCTTAGAACACATGCTGTAATACTAAAGGGACAGCTCACTGAATATTAACATTAATCCAATCCCACTAGATTTTTAGGACTATACCAGTTATTGTAGTGGTTGCCCTACAAACTTTAGCGTAAGCATGAATGCTAAAGCCAGTTTTATACATATCCTTCATAGCCAAGTTCTGGAAATGCAAGAGCAGTGGTTTGTTAACATAAAACTTGAGACCATCCCTTTTTGTGTGAGAAAGAAAAGGATGGTGTTACTGATGCCAATCTTGAATTTCCAAGGAGGAAGTCCGAGGAAGAACGGCAGAAGAAAGAAGATGAAAGAGCGCGGCGAGAATTTATTAAGCAAGAATATATGAGGCGGAAGCAGCTGAAACTTATGGAAGACATGGACATTGTCATAAAGCCCCGTCCCCACTCATCCAAACAGAAGAAGCCACGGCCAAAATCCATACACAGAGACCATATTGAATCACCTAAAACGCCAATCAAAGGTCCTCCAGGTAAAAAAAAATGAAAGGGGGTATCCATTGATGTTGACACTCCAGCTATGGCTTGTTGGCTGGGGAATGCTAGGAGTTCTAAGATGGTTTTCTTCTCAACTTACCTCAGATGGTGCCTTTAGTAACTGAAATATGATGACCAGCGGTTTCCTCTTCGAGGACCTACATTCTGGGAAATTTAGTGTGCTGTAGAACTTTCATTATACTTATTCTTTTGGCTGGGTTTGCTTGTCCCTTGGCTGAGGGAAAAGTTACATGCTTTTGAAACAGACTACTGGTTTTTGTTATACCATAATTATATTTGGGATGGTAGAAGCTGAGGTTGGCTTATCATAGTGCACCTCTCCAAATTAAGTTTGACTGGTCCAATGCTTGGCACATCATCTCTGCTTTAAAGAGAGATTCAGCATAGCAATGATCCAATGCTGATTCTTAAGCTTAGTGCAATTAAGTTCATGTCCTAATTGATCTGCTTCAGTGGTTTGCTATGGAAACCTTAATGAAGCTTTTTGCTATCTAAAAATATTGCTAGAATAAAAATACCAGCTAGGGATGTATGAGGAATCTGATGGGGTAGAGGGTGAAAATCCAACAGTTTTTCAAGGTATGTCTCCCTCGATTCTAATTTGTTAGCCTTGTGGGGCAAGCCAAATTCAAGCCAGTTCACAGAGTTCTGCGTCTAAAACAGGCTATGATTTAGGCTTTTCTAAAACAGAAAAACACTAAGGAAATATACACAATTTGTGCTATTTGCACAGATTAGAAGCTGAAGCCATATAGTATGAGCACAGTTTGCTTAAACTCTTTCTGGATTCCAATTTACAGAAATAGTATGATTTGTGCAAATTTCCTTAGCTTTGTAAAAATTGCACAAACCATTGCCCATCTTAGAGGCAGAAGCCTGCAAAACTCCATTCCCCAACTTGGCCTGCTTCCAAACACTGCAGGGAGTCAACGAGCTGGGTTTCTCAGTACTAGCACATTCCATATATCAACATGCAATTCGAAAGACCAGTAAGAAGAGAAAATATTTCTTAGAAACCCTAGCCATCTACTTTTCCTGGTGTAAAATGTAATCAACAGATTCTTTTCTCTGTCTCTTCATACTTTTAAGCATCTTTGTATTTATCTAGCTTCACAACTCCTTTTTTTTGTTGATGTTTTTCCCCCCCTACAGTGTCAAGCCTTTCATTGGCATCACTAAACACTGGCGACAATGAAAGTGTGCAGTCAGGCAAGAGAACACCGAGGTAAATTTGTAGCTATTTAGCCATTTGAGATAAATTTTCAGCTTTATGCGGTTGGCACAATAGTGCCCACATAAGGGTACAGTCATTGGATGCATGATTTCTGAATGATTCTTAATTATTGGTACAAATGGTGGCCTCTCTCTGAACAAGCTATGTCTGCTTGTGTGGTCGTCTTGGTGCACTGTGTCCACCAGAAAAGCCTGCATAATTCCAAGGCTGCGGTGAGTCAGTCATGAGCCTGTGTTGACACACCATTTCTTGAGCATTGGCAATGACATGACAACACCAGTCATGTGTTCCTGTGGCTTGATTGCTCTGGGCTTGGAGCCAGCATCTTTTAGTTTCATTCAGTGTTTACCCTCTGCTAGTGTTAGTAGACCTAGAAACAGAAAGAGGGAATAATTCTGTGGTCCCTAGACATTGTCCGGGGGTCCATAAGTCCCAGGGACTGACCAGCCCCGCAGACGCCAACCCGCCCGCTGATGCTGCCACTGCTCCGACAGATGGCGGCCACCACGGGACCGGAGACTGGGGACGCTGCTGGCCTAAAGCTCCTCCATCTGTGCCAGCGAGTTCTCCATGGGCCCCACCCTTGCCCCCCCGGCATGGGTGGCAGCTGCTCCGGATTGGGGGAGGGGTGCAGGGAGGGGCCGCAGGCTCAACTCGCCAGCCACGGCCAGTGGCTGGTGGCCGAAGGGCGACGGCTTAAGGGCATCGTCGCCGTTTGGGACCATTCGGGCCCGTGTGGGGCTGGGCCGGGCCTGGAACTTTGTGTGTGTTGTTTTGCAGTGGGTGGGTTGGAGGGTTTTAATTGTATTTTATTGGATTTGTTTTAATGACTCCACATCTGGCTGCTGTTTCCATGGGGTTGCCTGAGGAGCACTTGGGCGCCACCATTGGGGTGGTGTTGGGCAAGGATCGATATGGCGTTGGGGGATTAACATGTCGGCATAGAAGAAGGAGGGTCAGATGGTTGACACCTGTTCCTTCTTCTGGTTATTCCCCCAACCAGAAGGTTCCGGGTAAGCTTATCAACAGCCCCTCGGGCCTGAAGGTGCTGCTGCTCAATGCCAGGTCAGTCCATAATAAAACATCCCCCATCCACGACTTAATTGTGGATGAGGGGGCTGACCTGGCTTGCATTACAGAGACCTGGGCAGGAGGGGGGGATGTATCCCTCTCTCAGCTGTGCCCGCCTGGGTATCTAGTTCAGCACCATCCACGTCCAGAGGGGAGGGGGGGGTCACTTTAATTTACTGACCTTCTATTTCCCTCGTGGGGCTTCCTGTTCTCTCGAGACCAGGTCTAGTGTGCTTACACCTGGTGCTGGGCAATCAAGACAGACTGGGGATTCTGCTGGTGTATTGTGCACCCTTCTGCCCATCAGACTCCCTGCCTGAGCTGATGGAGATTGTCTTGGACCTGGTGTTGAAGACCCCCAGGATGTTGGTCCTGGGGGACTTCAGTCTCCATGCCAAGACTGTTCTGACCGGGGTGGCTCAGGACTTCATGGCCTCCATGATGGCCATGGGGCTCTCTCAACATGCCATAGGCCCAACCCATGAACGTGGTCACATGCTTGACCTGGTTTTCTCAACAGGGTAGGAAGAGGGTGATATGAGGGTGAGGAATTTGTCTGACTCCCTTGTCATGGTCAGACCACTTCCTCGTGAGGTTTGAGCTCGGAGCTGGCCTTTCCCTCTGTAAGGGTGTGGACCCAGTTGTGATGGTCCTCCCTATGTAGTGTTCATATACAGATCTTTCAGTATAAAATACGAGCAAATGCAAACTGTGGTTGTTCTGAATACAATGTTTAGGTCTGAGTCCGTGGAAGCATTCTTATCGCCAAGCCGCTGCGGTAGTCGTAACGGGGAAAAGGACTGGGAAAATGCATCCACAACCTCTTCAGTGGCTTCTGCTACAGAATATACAGGTTGGTATTGTGAGTGTTGTTTGATGGAAGCTCACTGGGAATTTCAAAATGCTCTTGTTCCAAAACTGTTGGCATGGTCTATGGATGGCTGAGGGAAATCGGGGCCGGAGAGCCTTCTCTCTATTCCTCCAGCAATCCTGACACCAATCAGGTACTTCTTGTTGCTTCTGCCGGTGAGGAAGGTGCCATCCACATGGATGGCTGAGAGTGGATGTAGAGACAAGATCTACAGTGGGTTGCAGCAGATACAGCAGTCATGGCCATAATTGCAACTGCACAATCAGCAGTGGAAATTCGAGGTGTCAGGGCACCCCACCCCCCATTTTAGTGGATTAGAAGTACCTTTTTCCCTTGCATTTACCAGAATGTAAGATTCTACCTGTACGCTCGTGTCTTTACTTCTTGTTCATGCATGAGCATCAATTCCATTTACACAGGTGCTTTGTATTGGCACAGTTACACTGCAGATAGTCAACCTTTACTTCTATCCATGCTGTTCGGCATCTGGAAACTGGCAATCAGTTCCCAAAACCTGGTGGTCCTTCAGCAACAAGGAGTTGTGGAAGTGCTCATTTGCATACACAAGTGCTGAGGAATGGGCAGTACTGCAGTCCAAGCTGTGATGCTCAATGTTTTAGTAGGAAACAAGTGAAAGGGGATTACTTCCAGGAAGGTTCTTTACAATAATAGTAGTAAGTGGAGAGAAATAGTACAGTCTTATTTTTTACATTAGGTGAAAGAATTCTTAAAAACTTTTAGAAATGCATGTGATTCTTATAAGAATATGTCAAATGAAAAAAGCATATGAAAGGCAGGTGGAGGACCACAAAGTCCTTTTTTGTGATATTATGAAAGGCATACCATCAGGGTATGAGTGTATCATTCGTATTAACTGTCTTTGTGAAAAATGGGGAAACAGTGCATAATGTTTTAAGGGTTGTGTTTCTGAGTCGTATTGATTTTGCTTGAATGACTGATTCTATTTCTAGGGCCAAAGCTATACAAAGAACCCAGTGCAAAATCCAACAAGCACATCATCCAAAATGCTCTGGCACACTGTTGCTTGGCTGGGAAAGTAAACGAAGGTCAGAAGAATAAAATATTGGAGGTAAAGCTAACCTGTAAAGTGGGGAAAGAAGGAAACTTAAACTCTAAATGTATTTGATACACAGGGTTTTCCAGTGCTTTTTTTGTCATAGAACGCACCAGAACAGAGTTCCGGCACCTTTTTTCAACAGATTTTCCAAGTTTTAAAAGTAACTTTTGAAAATTTGATGTTTGGTCCATGTGGATTTGAATCGCCCTGTCGAGTGTAGCAGGTCGGCGGCAAAATCATTAAAACGGTGCATGCGGGCTGCTTGTGCATCGAGTCCGATGCATGCATACTTCATCCGCGCTGGTTGTGATGGCGCTGCTCAGCTTGTGGCACTGCTTGGCTTGTGACTGGTTGTGTGGTCGCGCGCTGAGTGTTTACTGCAGGTGGCAACTGTTATGTTTCATTACACAACTGATGTGTGTGGGTGTGTACAGTGATTGACTACATGCGAAAGGTAAATAATTTCATGAGTTCCGGCACCGTTTTTCTTACAAAAAAAGCACTGGGCACAGTCATTGGTTAGACTTTGTTGTGTTTCAAGCATGTACAATGCATGGGCTGCAAGGAAGAGACAGATGACAAGGTCACTGCCTTGGGGCCAAAGCCCAGGATTATGCCTCCGGGCAGCCATTAGCAAGAAGCTGCGGAATGAAGTGGGAAAAGCCTGTAGGAAATCAATCTGGGCCCTGAGGCTCGCCTGCTAGACCAGGCGCAGTGGAAGGTTCCTTTGGCAATGTGTTGAGATATGACAGCGCTACTTTCCAAGCATAATTTCCTCTCGTGGGGAGGAAATGACGCTGCCGGACCAGAGAAAGCAGCCCATGAGGTGCTCCACGGCTGCCGTCTGGGCAGGTGCCGCCTCCAGGCATGAAAAAGAGAGAATGACGCGGAGGCTGCTGCGGTGATCTCTGTATCGGAACACTGCTGCTTTATCTCATCTGAAGGGGATCTTGTGCAGCAAACTTGGGCAGGTTGTAGATTTGCCACCCTGACCTAAGGACAGGTTTGGAAGCTTCAGGAAAGAAACTATCTTAAGGATCCGGCTCTACAAACTCTAAAAAAAATCAGGTAAAGAAGCGCTATGCTTTTAGGTATATTACAGACTAGTTTTTCCAAAGCTTCAAGATTTGCAGAAGGTAAAAACTTTGCACATGTTCTTGGGCATAACTGCCACATGCCCATCTAGTCCAGCTTTCCACAGTGGCAGTCTGATGCATCCTAGAAGTCCACAGACAGGTGATTAGGGCTCCCTCCCATTGCGCTTCGCAGCAGAGGCATTTTGCCTCTGAGACTAAAGGTAACCTGTATCCAACATGACTTACAGTTTGTCCCATCATCCTTATAACCTTCTAAGGTGGTAGCTGGCACTCTGTCTCCTGCATTGAATTCAGTGAGCTAACTGCACTATGTGAAGAAGTACTTTTGTCAGACTGGAATCTCCTGTTGTTCGGCTTAACTTTGCCAAACCGTTCAAGCCAAAAGTTTCGCTCTAGTCTTCTGGACTACTGCATTAACTCTACAAGTGACAGAAGCCGGCTTACAATTAGGTATCCTTGAGAAACTTGAATGGTATTTTACACGTGAAACTCCCTGTAGAGCAGTCCAGCGAAAAAATAATAGCAGTCAGAGCGCAACATGAGCTTCTGTTCAAAGTGTTCAAAGATAGGCTGGACATGCACATGATGGGCATGTCGTGAGCGGAGCCGGCTAGTGCCGGAGGTCAGACTAGATGGCCCGGGAGGCCCCTTCTGACTCAATCTGTTTCTATGTTTCTCATAGCAACCTGTATTTTTAGATGTACAGTGGTGCCTCGTAGTTCAAATGTCGCTCACTTCGAATGATCCAAAGTTAGAACTTCAGAGTCAAGATAAAATCACTCTGTAGTTCGAACAGTGCTTCTCAGTTTGAAGTGTAAGTGAAATGAAAACATGCAGTCACCGCGAAAATGCCATCAGGTGTGCAACCAAGTCAAAAAAAATTATTACAGTAAAAGACACT